GCACCTGGTCGTGGTCGGTTTATGGTGAAATGATGTTCTTTCCACTTCTGAATTATGGCCCCAACAGTGCTCACTGGATTACGCTTTGCAACAATAAGGTTGCAAAGGTCTTGAGAGAGCTCTTTACTTTTACCCATCATCAGATGGTTCTTGTGTGATACCTGGTCATCATTTGGGACTGAACCAACTGATATTAATTTGCACTGACAAGGGGCAGGCTTGCTTTCTAATTACTGAGAGAGTTCAGCTGGTGTCTTGGCTTTCCATTCCTTTTTACACCTCTCTTTCTTCATGTGTTCAATACTTTTCCCTGTGCCATTCCACATTATTACAAGTAACTTCATTTCTGGTTTGATTTATTTGTATGTATGGATTACTTGGGTTGTTACCAACATCTGGTGAACATTTCATGTCATTAGCCCCTCTAGTAATATATTTACTGAGAAAAATGGTGACGTGTTCAATACTTATTTTACCCGCTGTATCATCCAGGGAGTTTTACCAGCCTGTGACCAAGGCCACATCTGTGGGGATCCAATGATAGGAAAAAAAAATTCTTTAGAGCAACAGCAGACTTCTTTCTCTGCTGCTTTAAAGTCTTAACTGTGCCTCTGTGTTGCGAAAAAGCCAATATTCCAGATTAGTTACCATCTCGTATGAACTTCACTCAAATGTTGCCCTCACTCATGCCGCTGGGCTGCGTTCCTAGTTAGAACCACATCCAGTTTGCGATTCAACTCCCCCAAAATTTGAGTCTGTGCGTTCACCGTACGAGAGATTCCGTCCAGGGACACAGACAGCTTCTCACATTTCCGGATCGCCGTCAGTGTCTCACTCACATTACCGTATTTTTCGGACTCCAAGCCGCCTTCTTCTTGAACTTTGAACCATGTGTCTTATAGTCCGGTGCGGCTTATATATGGATTTTTTTCTTCAGCCACCAGAGGGCTCTTTAGCCGGAGGTGTGGTAGCCATGAATGAAAGGAAGAAGAAGAAGTACCATTTTGTTTTAGCTAGTAGCAGACACGACACGACGGATTAAACTTCGACAGACACAACAAAAATTTCTCTTCAAATTCAAATACACTCATCATGGAAAAGAATAGAAGATCTTCCAATGATGCCGCTTTTAAGTTGAAGGCTAATGAAATTGCGCAACAGGAGCGAAATAGAGCCACTGTACGTAAGCCCGTCCAGGTTCCGAAAGGCTGGACTGCTACGTGAAGAGGGTACCACAGCTTCAGAGCCAGCATTACCCCGGGGGATGAAAGCTACACAGAAAGTAACGCTGAACAGACCGCTATGTGACGAAGCTTTTCTCAGCTTGTTCAACTCTGACACTGAAGAAGAGGAATTCGATGGTTTCAGTGCACCGGAGGAAGATGAATAAGACGTTTTGTTGATGTTTTGTTGGATCAGAAACTGTTAAAGAAAACTACCAAAATGAGGTCAGTTAAATGAACTGTATTCCTCTGAACTTTAATTCCTAAAGGTTTGCTTTTTATGTTTTGATGTTGAATTCACTTTTTTGACGACAATTTTGGGTGTACTGTTTTTTTATGATGGGGGGTGCAGCTTATAGTCTGGTGCTGCTTATAGTCACAAAAATATGGTATATTAAATTCATTATTTTCCTGACTCTAGAAATCATTTCTGATCACGCAGGGATCAAACAAACATGTCCTTCACACATGCAGGAAGTAATTTTAATGAAGGTGTGTCAGGGGAGGTGTCTCACCTGCGTTAGTTGGGATGTACAAAAGAAATGTGCGTGGATTCAGGTGTACACATGGTTTGATACATCTGGATTTTTTTGTGCGTACACCAATTTCTGGATTTGACCGTATGCCACGTTTCAGTAAGAAATCCACGCAAGTCTTTGTACATGAGGACCCTGGTCCAGGTCCACCTTCTTCTGGAAAAGAGACAAAAAGAAAAAAACATGTTATTGATAGAAATAATTACAATAAACATGTAGAGAAGAGAGACTAAAGACAACAGCAGAGTGAAGAAATGTGCTCAGTTTGTGCTCCAGCAGTCTAAGTCTATATCAGCAGAAATGAAGAATAATTCAGGAAACCTAAGTCTAACTATAGAATTAATCAAAGAAGAAAGCCTTCAGTCTAATCTTAAAAGTAGACAGAGTGTCAGCCTCACAGACAGAAACTGGAAGTTGGTTCCACAAGAGAGGAACTTGATAACTGAAAGCTCTGCCTCCCATTCTACTTTTAGAAACTCGAGGAACCACAAGTAAACAAGAAAGGGGACAAAAACAAAACAAAACAAAACAAAACAAAACAAAAAAACATAAAAGCAAAAAGCAAAAAACAACAACAACAACAACAACAACAACAACAACGATTACCAGTTTCATAACGTTGGACTTAATAGGTTGATATTTCTGTGCAGCTTTTGGCGAGAATATTAAACATCAGCTGGTGAGTAAAGCAGACCACATGAGGCTGTCAAAGGGAGGAGGAAGCTTCAAACTCAACATTCCCTCAAGCTCTGAGACATAAAAAAATTCAAGCTGCAGTTTTTTTTAAATTATCCGCAAGATTTTCTTTATTCATGATGTTGAATAAATTTATTGGTCATTTACTTACTGATTCTAAAAGCACAACACCATTTTATAGTTTTCCTTATTAAGTACTAGTTTCTAACTATTGTTATGCCTTGATTAAAATAGTTTTAGCTACATGCCTGGAGCACCATAACAACACATAGATACCATTGAATTAAACATTAGGAAAGTTTATGCTGTCTGAGTATCTGGTTTCAGCCGCAGTGATGTGGTGGGCAGAACCGGATGCTGAAGACAATGATAAAACTTGTTGTATTTCCGGATGTCTGTCTGGACGCTGCTGATGCTCTAGCTTGAAGCATTAAAATAACCATTCAGATCCAGTCCTGGGTGGTTGTGTCATGGTCTATTCTCTTCACATTTTAATCAGTTCAACATTCATGTGGTTTATGCCTGGTTTAGACATGATTTCAGTAAAAGAACACTAAATTTCTCACAATGTAAATGAGGAAATTTTATGTAATTTGTGACAATCCACGTGATATGTATGGACATTTGTGTCAAATGTGAACTTATCTTGGGATTTTCACAGTTTCATCTTGACATTTCTCAGAATATTCTTGAACATGAAATCTGATGCAGTGACTGGTCCATGCTGGGTGTTTTGTAACAACTTCATCCAGGATCAGCTTTGTGGCACAGCAAGGTGTCACAAATCAGCTCTAAGACTGACACTTAAAGGTGCAATGTTATGTGTTTCTAAGGCATATATTTAAATTCTATACCATCATAAAGTAACTATGTCACCTTCAGTTGTTATTAAAATGTTTATCTAAATAGAAAATAAACTTGACTTCTCATCATGTCCATCTCTAAACGCCTTGAAATCTGCCTCTTTCTCTTTAAGAACCTCCTTCCGATCCTGTCCCGCCCATTTCAGCATGTCATCACAGCCGCTTCCATTGAGGTATATTTACTAGAGGGGTTATCATGTGACTTTGGGTATGCTAAACACGACTCCATCTTGACACAGTCATTCAACCACTGAACACAGACCCGCAATGCCGTGTCACTGAGCAGTGTTCGGGTGCAGCAATAGTAGTGGAAAATGTTCGGACCTCATAACATTTCATCGGTGAGTTTTTTGTCTTTTAAATAAGAAGGCTATGTTTAGCATTGTGTTTATGTTCAGATTTAGCACTGACAAGAAATAGATCAAAATCAATTGTGAACTACATGAAATCTCCCACTGCTTGAGGGTGAAATTAAAATTTTGGTTGTGTTTTTATATTTCTGTTGAGTCAAGGTGTGCCATTACAGTTTTTATTGATTGGTTTGACGCAACCGTCAACTCAAAAACCACATTTTCAAAACAGTTAACACAGAGGCCTAAACATTGACACAGTGGTCAAAATGACACATTTTATTTGCAAAAGGCAATAACTGTGTCAAAACATTTAAAATATGGAACAAAAGCAAATTTTGCCTTCAAACAACTCAACTTTGACACAATGTATGAGCACCTCCAAACAATCAGTACACAATAGGCAACAAAATACAAAATACAGCACTCGTGTGAATCAGTGCACCATTGCTTGTCATTGTAGCCTATGACTGTATGTAGCTTAAATACCAGTGCTGTTTGTAGTCAAATTTGCCCTCTTGCAAAAACGCATTCAGAAGCAGATGGTTTGATGCAAATTTTATTGATTGCATTTTTTTTTCAGACTGTGCTTGACAAATGAAATATTCCAACAGAGAATGCATGGAAATAAAAAAAAAATCCTTTACTGTGTGAGAAATTATGTAAATAAAAAACAGTCTTTTCCAGTAAAGATCAAAAATCTATGGTAGGCCTATACGATGAGTATAAGAGATAGCCACAAGTGATACTCATATGTCTCTTCTAGTCTCTTCTTTTTTGAAGAATGGGCCACATGGCCTCATCCACATCACATTCAATATTATTTGCCAGAACCATGTTGACAACGGCTGCCTCCTGCTCAGCACCCTCTACCACCACCGACTGGTAGCCTTAAAGAATACATGAAATGTGGAAAAAAATTATGTGAAGTACTGTACAGGTATATCACTGCAGATATTTCTGTATATATTGTATAGCAACATTACCTGTTCTCCTGTTGAAAAACTCTAACAATGGATGCAATAGTGTTTCTGTTTAGAACAGGTTGGACTCTTTGTCCAGCCTCTCTAAAATGAAAGGCCATGACTTACAACATGCTCAATCACAGTTGTCCGAATTTCAACTGTAACCTGCCCTTCCAACTATACATCCACCTCGCACACAGACTCCTCTTCCTCTGACCCCTCTACCTCTTACTCTCACTCTACCTCTCGTCTGCCTTAGACCTCCTCGATCCATGCTTGCAAAGAACAACACAGGCCTGCAGACTGACTGCAAATTGAAAAATTCTGTGAAGAAGTGTCAAACTGGTGCTTTCAGTATTTCTTACTGACAGCTAAAAGGGAGTTTGGACTTCTTGAATGACATCTGCGTTAACTGTTTTGCAAAAGGGTGGAAAACTGTATCAATCCAATGAGAATGGATTAACACATTGCAAGAGGTGTCTTCTGCTCTGCTGAGATCAAGGCCGGATTAACCATTTGGGCAATTGGGCAATTGCCCAGGGGCCCACGCCCTGGGTGGTGAAGGCATGGACACAACGGATGCAGGATTTGCATGGACATGTCTCCCCGCACTTCCTGCATCTGCGCTCTCTGTCCCCGCACTTTTCTCAGCCGTAACAGCTGTTTTATCCATTATTAACATGTGGTAATGCGTTTTTCTGAGCCGTCTTTGAACGCACCATAAGCGTGCGCAAGCTACTCCTGCAGATGAGATGACTGATAGGAGCTGCTGTGCTGAGTATAGCCTCCCGTGTAAAGAGCAACTAAAACTTGGCACAGTTTTTACCAAACAAACCACGTAAGTTGAGTCATGCTGTTGGAGGCAGATAATGTTAGCTAAATGATGAGTTCCACATTATATAATGTTTAGCTAGTTAACATGATTAGTTGTTGTTACCTGTTACATCCCTTGCCAAGCTAAACCCAGTCGTCTTTCATTTCTGTGCAGAAGTTGTGCTGGCTGCTTTCCACATATTTAAAATAAATCTTCATTACCACAGTTACAAAGAACAAGGTCAGGGAGAAGACAGACCAGATACAGCAGCAGGGATCATAATGCAGACTTTCCTCAGGTAAGGAGAACTGATGACTATTATTCTTGAAGTGGAAC